GGGGGGGGGGGCAAAACCAAAACTTGGTCGGCTTGTTAAGTTGTTTAATATTGGAGGCGCCACAGTACATGGCAATGTAAATAAAACCTCGAAAATGCAAGGGGCCCTGCCCAACCCGAATGACGCCCCTGATGTGTATTGACATCGTACAGTCAAATCTCTTCTGAAATTCTCTATCACATTGTAGCATGTATATTTATCTAGAAGAAGGTCCGTTGTATAGATACGTCAGTTATGTACCATACACCCAAGCCCATTGGCCGCCTTAACAAAGATGGTAATGATAAACATAAATAAATTGTGAGTCAGGTTTGAAAATATTTCTTTTGACAAAAATTTCACTTTTGAAAAAAATCAAAGTCAAAGCTTTCTATTAGCTGCATTTTAGCGGGAACCCCCCCCCCCTTTTTTTTTTATCCCCCCTCCCCACTCACGAATCCTTCGTTTTAGATATGTGTAAATGCAGTTTTAAACATCTTATGAGGGGAAAACAACAACAACAAAAAAAAACAACAACAACCCAACAACAAACATTCATACCACAAGGCGAAGGAACTCACACCCATATACCCACTTATGTCCCTTGTACTTGTCCATCAAGACCGACGTGTCTTAAAACACAGCCACGTGGTTCTGTAATAAATAAATAATCACTTTAGTTTATGGACAGTGCTGTCCGTGCGATGAACACAAAAAAAACCCATTAGCTTCACATTCTTGTATTCCACGCCGCGCCCTCACTGTCATACTTTGGTGCCAACTTCCTGCATCGGTATATGGTCTCCTTCGTTTAGTCCCGCGTTCCCCGTCGATGTATTATTCGCATGCTGTATACCAGCGTTACCCCGTCCGCCCTTTGCCACGTTTTGATAACTTCCTTCCGGAAATAAACTCGTGTTTGTGTTGGACGCCTCCTCGCCGGCCAGTCGACTTGACGGACCGTGGTTCTGGTGATTTGCGCGCAGCAGAAGCGCCTTCTCCTGGTCGAGGCGCAGACTTGTGGGCGTGCCTCTTTTTTCCTGGAGGGATATCGGCATCCAGCGGCGGCCGCAGTGGAAGACCGACTTTGAGAAAGTTCTGATTTTCTGAGCCAGGTACACGAATCCCGACCTGAGCCTGGTCCGAAACGTGGCGCTGAGCGCCAGGTAAAGGTAGATCTTGGTGCCGTAAAAGATGTAGGTCACGGCCATGTCGATGGTCCAGAGCAGCTTCAGCACGCTGTTCAGCTTGTGGGCGGCGAGACAGTCGAGCTCCAGGTAGGTGCTGCGCTGGACGATCAGGTCCATGACGCTGAGCGTGACCTTGGTCGTGGTCAGACACATGAAGATGAGGCACATGACCAGAGAGACGGTGCGGAAGTCTCTCAGCGTGGTCAGCTCGATGAAGTACTTCTTCATCTCCAGCTCCAGGTCCTTCTCCCTCGAGACGGGCCGTCTGATCATCGTGGTGGCCGTGAGGAAGAAGCAGAAGGACACCGCCATGAGTGGCAGCAGGAGCTCGACCATGTTCTCCAGGGCCGGCCAGATCCAGTCCCGAAAAACTTCTGAGAACTCTTCGTTGTATCTTTGGGGAAAAAAAGGGGGTTGGGGGTATTTGGAGAAATAAAAAAAAGACTTTCAAATAGTTGTTTATTATAGCCATAATTTACAGCAAATAGAATAGTTAGATCATGCCATTCGACAAGTGCCTATAGGCACGGGCTAACTGAGGCCAAGACCTACAGTTGCTTAGACTGAGAGAGGCTCATCAATCACTTATGAAACACTCATCCATTACTCACCCTTCACTAATTCTCATTATTTGTTCATGCCAAGCTCCATTTACTGAGTTTTATTCCCGTCCCCACAAAAAAAAAACCAAAAAAAAAAACCAAAAAAAAAAAAAAAAAAAAATAATCACTTATGAAACACTCATCCATTACTCACCCTTCACTAATTCTCATTATTTGTTCATGCCAAGCTCCATTTACTGAGTTTTATTCCCGTCCCCACAAAAAAAAACCAAAAAAAAAAAACCAAAAAAAAAAAAAAACAAGCAAAACAAAACAAAAGAAAAACAAACGAACAGCATCTATTTGACACGACCATTGAACCCCGCCTCGAGCCACACTTACAAGCAACCGGTGTCCGACTTGCGCACCCCAAACGTCCAGAAGAGGTTGATGTCCAGACACACGAGGATGATCGTGATCAGCATGAGGACGTACCTGGCCCTCTCCAGTGTGCACATGATGTACGTCTTCTTGGGCCAGCGGGTGGCTATCTGTCGGGGGGAGAGACGAAGCCCAGAGAGTCTGATGGGTTTATGCTACCGCTACATTAACGAAGGGTAGAGGGTCAATGCGCTGGACGCTACAGAAAACCAGGACCGCTCATTTTGGTACCAATTAACAGAGGATTCGCCAAACGTTGGCTAGGTGAAACATTACCATGGATATAAATTAGTACGCCGATTCGAGATTTCAATATTCTTAAACCAGGGAGGCAGTGACGGGGCTGCGGGAAGACCCAGGATATAATAAGGTTTATTTGCCTATTTTAAAGCATGTTTTTGTAATCGTGGGGGCGCGGCGCTGCTTAAAAGGTTTAGAACTTCTGTTCTGGGATATACAGAGTATATTAGACTAACATAAACGGATGAAGCTGACAATAAACTTTAATGAAGCGGACAACGTTAATGAAACAGGCAACATTAATGAAACAGGCAACATTAATGAAACAGGCAACATTAATGAAACAGGCAACATTAATGAAACGGACGTTATTGAAACCAAAAACGTTATTGAAACCGAAAACGTTAATGAAACAAACAGACAACACCAATGAAACAGACAGACAACACCAATGAAACAGACAGACAATACTAATGAAACAGACAGACAACACTAATAAAACAGACACACAATGCTAATGAAACAGACAGACATCGCCAATGAAACAGACAGACAACGCCAATGAAACAGACAACACAAATGAAAAGACAGACAACACTAATGAAACATACAAACAACGCTAATGAAACAGACAGACAACGCCGAAGAAACAGACAGACAAGCCAATGATACAGACAGACAAGCCAATGAAACAGACAACACCAACGAAACAGAAGAAACAACCTAAAATGACAGACTAAGCTAATAAACTGTTACGTAGAATGGAAGGTGTTGAGGGGACCGGGTGGCGCCACGGTATCAGTTCGTTGTGGTCGATGCATTGAATCCATGGGATATATGTCATCTTTCCCGTCCACTATTCCTACACTGTTCAAGGAACGAGGCCGTAGCACCAGTGGAGGGTGAGTCTTATATTACCCGGGGTCATTGATGGAGTGGTCAAACTCGTACACCATTATCTTCATTTTGTTTCCACACATTAGACCTCTTTAGACGGACGCAATAAATCGGTGTCGGGTCAGAATCGACTTTCCTAAATCCAGCCCAGGAGTAGCTACGAGGCATTCGGTGGATCTGATGTGGATAAATAACCAATCCATTGTCAAAGTCTTGTCACACGCGTTCCCACATTACACCACGTCGCCCTAGTCCGCTGGGTAATCGAGCCTTGCGCCCTTTCCCAAGAAATTCCACCCTTGATTTTATTGGGCTCAATCAGATATCTACTGATGAAACATTTAGGAATATTTAAGAAAAGCTTATTTCTGTATTTCGCCCCCCCCCCCTCGGAAGCCCACTCCCCACACATTTAGAACTCTACAACGATTAGCTCACTCAGAGTTTAAGAAAAGCTTATTTCTGTTTTTCCCCCCCCCCCCCTCGGAAGCCCACTCCCCACACATTTAGAACTCTACAACGATTAGCTCACTCAGAGAAATATTTCCCCCCATTAAATCTCTGCCTTGCCGCCAGTACACGACTTTAATAGCCCCCCTCCCAGTTTATCATCTCAGACTGTCGTTGAAGCAGAAAATAAAGAGACGGTGTAAAAATGATCCGCAGCACGGGTGAGAAAACATCGGCCCGCGGGCCACGTGCGGCCCACCGAGACGTTTAATGCGCCCCTCGAGACATTCTGGGAACTGGATTAAATTTTAAAAAATAAAATGAAATAAATTTCAAATTATTTTCTTTAGAAACCTTTAAAATTAACCATTGCTGTGCACAATTGTAAACTCGTTATAATAACGATCACAAGAAATAAAAAAAAAATTAAACTTCTTATTTGCGAACTAAAATGGTAGTGATTTGTGGAAGCCCATCTTCAAAAATGTATATCAAAATACACTAAGAATTCTCTGAACAAACGTGCCGTGCAAAAAGTCCAGGGGTATCTTGACCGTTTTAGTACTAAATAATAGTAGTACGGTATTTAAAAGTTCTCTTCATTAGTAAAAAAAACCCAGTGATATTGTTGTCAATGTCGAAATAATGTTACCCTAAGTGGCTCGACTAGTTTGCTGTAAATGTTTTGTTTTTTTAAAGTTTAACAATTTTACGAAAATTGTGCACTATTTCCTCGGCACCCCTGTGAGGAAACCGCGGCGCCCCATGACAACGCGGCTTCCCAGGACAATTTGGCCCCCAGGGTCCTAACAGCGTTTCCGGAAATTTCCGTCCATAAATTTACCGTCGACGAAATTTCTTTCGATCAAATTTCCGGTAACCCCCTTACAGACGACACCCGCTCTGCCTGACAGACACCCTTTCTGCCTGACCGACACCCTTTCTGCAAGGGCAAAAAACACACCCGACTTACCATCATCTCCACAGACAGGGCCACTGTAAGCCAAGGGCTGAGGTGCCTGACAAACGTGAAAAGAAATTGGTACGTCCTACACACAGCATCAGACGAGTCCATGAGCTGCTTGGCCAGGCTTACTTCCATCAGACGAGAATACCTTGAGTTGGGGAGAGGGATATAGGATGAGTGTGGAGTATTGTTCCAGATCAGCCTCACTGAAGGGAATATGCATATTGTACCAATGAGTAGCCTCTATAGGGAATATGCTTATTGTACCAATGAGTAGCCTCTATAGGGAATATGCTTATTGTATAAAAGAGTAGACGCTATAGGGAATTATTGTACCAATGAGTAGCCAGTATAGGGATAAGATGAGAGTAAACAAGATAATGTGCGACACGTATTTAGAATTGAAGTAGGCCCAGGAATGTACCAGTGGATTGGGCCCAGGAATGTACAAGTGTACTGGGCCCAGGAATTTTCAAGTGGACTGGGCCCAGGAATGTACTTGTGGACTTGGCCCAGGAATGTACAAGTGGACGGTACAGGAATATACAAGTGGAGTAGGCCCAGGAATGTACTAGTGGACTTGGCCCAGGAATTTACAAGTGGACGGTACAGCAATATACAAGTGGAATAGGCCCAGGAATGTACAAGTGGATGGTACAGGAATGTACTAGTGGACTTGGACCAGGAATGTTCAAGTGGATTTAGTCCAGGAATGTACAAGTGGTCTGGGCCCAGGAATGTACAAGTGGACTTGGCCCAGGAATTTACACGTGGAGTAGGCCCAGGAATGGAGTACAGGAATTTATAAGTGGACTCCAGTTCTCAAAAAAACCCCACAGGAAAATTTAGGCTATTTGATTGGTGTATTCTGTCTGTTTTATTAGGGGATTTGAACATTAATAGCGTCCCCCCCCCCCACCTCTCCCATTTTTTTCTCGTTAGTGAGTTCCCCTTTCGTGTTTATTCTGAATGGACCTCTGCCCCGATCCTGTCTGTACTACCGGCAGAGATACTCACCACCGGTCTCCACAGCGAATCAGCAGGATGATGAGATCTGTAACTCCCAGCAAAGCCAGGTACGTGATGGTGGACCACGAGCTCCGACTCATGCTCACCAAGACTGGTATGGCTAGCATGTTACCCACAGTGCCCTGCAGGAGCAGGATGGGATGCACGGCCAGCTCAATCCAGTGCCTGACCACCTCGGCGGAACTGTAGAGGAGAGGAGAACAAATTCTTCTACCCAATACAATGGGACGTTCCAACATAGTCAGTCGTGTGCATGCGACATGAGCGAGACTCGAAACTAGTCGGCGCCCACTCTTGAGCAGTGGTTCTCAACCTAGATAATGACGCGACCCTTTAATACAGTTCTTCAAGTTGTGACGACCCCCAACCACACAATTATTTTCGTTGCTTCTTCATAAGTGTAGAATATATGTGTTTTTCGATGGTCCTACTGTGAAAGGGTCATTCTACCCCCAAAGGGGTCGCGGCCCACAGGTTGAGACCCGATGCTCTAGAGTTTTTACTTACTGGACATGAATGGAGGAATCACAGAAGAGCCCCTCCTCGCTGTAGTTGCCGTACTGGGCAGTATCGGGAAACTCCTCCGTCATTCTGGCATGGTGTTGAAAGTCAGGTCGGGACAATCTGTGGGGAATTAAGATAAGTCGTCATCAGGCCTGGACAATCTGAGGAGAAATAAGATAAGTCGTCATCAGGCCTGGACAATCTGAGGGGAAATAAGATAAGTCGTCATCAGGCCTGGACAATCTAAGGGGAAATAAGATAAGTCGTCGTCGGACCTGGACAATCTGTGGGAAAATAAGATAAGTCGTCTTTTCGACCGACTTAATGATGTCCGT